GTCGGGCGGCGGCAGCGTAGGGGTAGGGCGACTCGAGCGATGGCCGGGGGCTGGAGGAGGGGAGGCAACGACCGGGGGCTGGAGGAGGAGTGGCGGCGAGGCTGAATCGGGCGGCGGAAATTAGTGGTGGCCGACGGCGGAGGAACTTTGGATTTGGTGTGGTTCGGCCGGTGGCGGCCAGTCGCACGAAAGAGAATGGAATGGTAGTTGGGCAATTGGCTGACGGTTGTCTTTTTATATCTCCTGTAGGTAGAGATGCAAATTTACACGACGAGGTGTTCTAGTTTACATCTCCGGGAGATGGAGATGTAATTTTTCTTTCATCTACATCATTTGTTGGAGAGGTGTTTTTGACCCCCGAGATGTAAAAATTAGTTTTTGCAATACATCTTCTATTGAGGTGCTCTTATCGGTTAGAATAATAGGAAGTGGCGCGAAACCTGGCAAAGAGAGAAACTGGAGATGTGGATAGGGACGGGTAGATCCAGGTTCTCCTCCTTCCGTTTATGATCCAGGTTCCCAATGAGGGCTCTTCGAGTAGAGTTTCGATCTCAAACAGGAATATATTACATTAATACGCAATGGCAGGAGAAATCAAATTTCTGGCTGATAAGAGTAGTCTACAGCCGATTCTTTAAGCAAAAGAAAATAAACGAAAGTGATAATCTCCGAGTTCTTCATATGTGGCAATCAGGCAGGCCATCTTCCACCGCCAAATCAGCAAACCAAGCTTACCAACGCACAGATCGATCATCGGCCAGAGCCGGCGCCGCCCTCGGTCACGTACAGGGCCACGTCCACGGTGCCGCAAACAACATTGGTCGGCTTTCGGCCCGGCCCCGGGGGCGGGGGACGCCAGCCCTGAAGCTCGACCCTCTCGTAGAACACCAGCGTCCCCTTGGCCGGAATAATTTTCAGATCAGCATTATTCTTCTGGAGCTCGAGGCGACTCAGGCGACTCTTCTTCTCCGCGACCGCCTCGTCGTCGCCGTCGTCGTCGCCCAGCACCAGCGCGTCCAGGAGTCGCACCTGCGCCGCCCCGATGGCCGCGGAGCAGCCGGAGGTGTGCGGCTCGTCCGTGCGGAGCACCTTCACGTGGCCCGTGTCCTCGTCGACGTCGCAGTCCTCGCGCACGGCCTCGAGGCGGAGGCACAGGTGCCGCCATCCACCGTCCACCTGAAACTCGTAGTGTTCCTTCCACGGCTTCACGTCGGCGTGCCTGCCGGGGAGCAGCAGCGAGCATACCCTCTTCTCCTTCATGTGCTCGCCGCAGAAGTACACTTCGAGGAAGGTGTACTTCTTCCACCCATGGCCCTCGATCTGGCGGCCTATCCTCCTTGGCTGACTTAAGAGGAGATGCAGCACCTGCCGCCGGCCGGCCGGCTTCTCCGCCTCCATGTTGGCTGCGGCTGCAGGGGCTCAATGGGAGACTTGCCGACGATCGATGCCTTGTTACGGTGGGATAAAAGATTCAGTTTCGCTCAAGTAGTAACTAACGATGAAAAAATATGGAAGTGTATACAAACTGAATTGAAAGGGTGGAGTACGGCTTCTACTTTTCCTTTTCCTTTTTGAACAAGAGATATAAGTCTATCTCTCCGCCTTACATACTCAACACAGACACGAGTTTAAAAGGAACAGATCCATGAAAAGATATTGGCCTGATGTTCGGTCCGGGAGAGCCCGGACCGAACGACTCGTTTGGTACAGACAAGCCCATCGACCGAACGATCTCGTTCGGGAGCAGAAGCGCCCCCTGGCCCTACAGGCTCTTTTTGCTGTGAAGAAAAAAAACGAAAAATGTCATGGTTCAAACAAACAAAAAATGCAATAATGCACGAAAAAATTGATGTTAGTGTAGAAAGTGTTGTATTGGTACTGAGCAACCCTATACTGTCCTGCTCGCGAGGGCCTCTAGTACACCTCTCTTGTGTACGTGCTGGATGTCCCAAACCTTGTACTTCTTGTTGGAAATATGAGCAATTTACCAAATAACTTTGCTAACAGAAATACTAGATAAAGCATGACTAACATAGCAAAGATAAAGCAAGTCATGCAATCTGACAGAGAGAAGGTAAATAGCATCTGCATATATGAACTTGAACTAAACACAACTAGAACAGACACTAGATGAAGTTGCATATATGAAGTAGAACCTAACATATGTAGGGCAGAAATTAGAGCAAAGAACTATGGCAGGACATCTAATAGAAAGAGCAAGAACACATATGAGACAGTAGCAGCAGAAGCACTGGACTTGGGGTCGACATCCTCTCCAGCCATGTCGTTGTTGAGATTATCGACGTCGGGGAAGAAGTCGTCGTCGGGGAAGTAGTCGTCGGAATCCGTGATGAAGAAGCCAGTAGTCGCGCAGAGCGCTCACCAAAAACCTTATCACCCTTCTCTCATACAGGACTCAAAAGATGCGGTTCCGGAGGTCTACTGTCCCGACCTGCGGTGCACGCCGCAAGCCGGGATGGGGAAGATTGTCGCAGCAGCGCAGTGCTCAGGAACCTTGTGGCGAGAGGAAGAGGGTCTTTTGATGTGTCTCTTTGGAGAGGAGCGACCATCTCTTATATAGGCACAGGAGAAGGACGCGAACAGGCTGCGACGGGAGGTGAAGCAAACAGGCAGCACGCGAAGAGGTGCACCATTCGTATTCAGTCTCCACTACAGCAAAACGTTTCAACTCCCGTGTAACCGTTCGTATACCCGTCATGCGTGGCAAAAATTTAGACATCGGCTCGACTCATTCCCGCAACCCACGGCGCGGCACGGCGCGTCGTGACGAGGCGGGCGGCGAAGGAGGAGCACACGTGGATGTCCCTCTTACTCTCATGCTCATGCATGTGGGAAAAGAGCCTCCCTTATAAAGAGGTTCAACTCCTCTAAACTAGCAATATGGGACTAAACTTTAGTTCCACCTCTTGCCTTGCATGAATGGGTTGCGTGAGCCTCTAGGATTCATTAGGAATTTCTGAAACTGCTATTAGGCTAGGCCTAAAATAAATAAAATTCCAGCACTTCTCACCCTATCTATCAATGCAAAGACACCTCCCAGGCGTATTAGAGAAAAAAATAATGCATGAAAAAATTGCCATGGTCTTTTGCCATACTATGAGAAAGAAATAGGATAGATTTTGCCATGTTCTATGAATTAAATTTGCCATGATAGTAAAACTGAAATTGCCATGGTGAAGTAGAAAAAGATGTCGAAAACACAACTAGCTAGCAAAAAAGCATCAAAGCATGAATTGGTGTACTGGGGCCGTAGTAACACTAGCAACGAACTTAAAGCCTGCACTCAAACCCCACTAAGATGTAATTCAACAAAGAAGAGTGGACAATCTGCCATGCCATTGTCCATGAAATTTTGCAACTCACGCTGTCCATGATGGCAAAAAAAAAACCTAGCAGTAACCATAGCAAGTTGCCGCAGAAAAGCTATATTTGGTTGCCATGGAAAAAAAGGGAAAATAGTTGCCATGCCAAACACACAAGTACATAACCAATTAATGTGATGCCTACAAATCACCGCTCCAACAACAATATTCCAAGGACTACCATTGATCCTGATTCCGGCATTACAAGAAAAACCCTCCAAAAAAGTGCAGGTAACATAAAAAATGTAGAGTAATAGCAGCAACCTCATTCTCCTTCAGGTAATGGAAAAGTTGGAGCTGCATCTCACATTCTCGAACATCTACTCCAGGAGTATGTTCTCATGCAGCAGAGAGAGGACCAGCCTGAAAAGGAGAGCAGAACGAGGAACAGATCAAACAAAAATGCAGGGTTGTCCTCCGTAAATGGCAGAGAAGAAGAGGGGTGAGGGGGAACCTTGACAAGCTAAATGGCGTGCTCGAAACAGCAGATGAGTGGCGTACCAAGAAGAAACAACCAGACGGATGAAGCAGTGCCTGCCCACTCACTCCTCGTCTCGCTGCTCACGCCCTCGAGCACCAAAGGATGTGATTTTTCTTTTTCTGGAATATGCATAGCATGCGTATCTTGTATTAAAGAAGAAAGAGGTACAAGGACCCTCCACTGGGTTTTTTACAACACACCAACACCACTGAGGGTGCTACGTAACACCCTCACCACCGTACCCTAGACTAGCTCTACGTCTCGTCCATAGCCCACATGTGAAGCTGCTCAAAGAAGGATCCCATGTCCGTCCTTATGAGGCCCGCCATCTTCCAAGTTCTACCCTCAGAAAGGTACCTACGAACTAGTCTAGTAAGTGAAGGGGAGTCCCCATCGAAGACAATCCCATTGCGATGCTTCCAAAGCTCCCAAAGAGCGAGAATGATGATAGCTCTCACATCCTTATCCGGCATACCCTCAATAGCCTTGTTGAGCAGCCAGTCCGGCAGTGTGTCGTCCGGTGCAGGGGTCCATCCTGGCTTGCCCAACGCCGTGAAAATCTGGAACCAGAATCCTCTGGAGAAAGCACATTGCAGCATGATATGGTTCATTGTTTCCTCCTCTTGGTCGCAAAGTGGGCAAGTGTCCTGGTGCGGCATGCCCCTCCTGGCCAAACGATCAGAAGTCCAGCAGCGGTTGCGAACAGCAAGCCATAGGAAGAATCGGCATTGCAGGGGGGCACGATTCTTCCATGTCAACGCGGCCGTCGGGGCTACCTCTCGACCCATGAACTTGGCCGCGTACGCTGAGCGGGCGGAATATCTCCCATTGCGCTCCCACGCCCAGGTGATCGTGTCTGGTACTCCCTCCCGGAGTTGCACCGCGTCCACACGAGTCCACAGCTCCATGAATTCCCTGATCGCCGGTCCGTCCATGTCAGGGCCAACCTCATGTGCCCAGGATCCGCTTGTTATCGCCTCACTGACATGGAGCCGCTTCCGAATGTGTTTAGGGATGCAGGAGTGGATGTTTGGGGCAATTTCCTCGATCCTAAGTCCATCAAGCCACCTGTCCTCCCAAAACAAGGCGTCACTGCCGTCACCAATCGTCATGTGCATTGCCGCATTGCATAACTGCCTGGCTTCTTTCGGTATTGGCATTGTGAACTCGCTCCATGGCCTCGAGCTGTTGGCCCGAGCTAGCCACGGCCACCTGGCCTGCATGGCCGTGTTCATCCACTTTATATCCGGCACGCCTAGACCACCGGCCCACTTAGGGGTACAGACCTCCGGCCATGCCACCACACAGTTGCCCCCATTCGCCTCAGCTTTGCCACACCAGAGGAATCCTCTTGGAATTTTGTTCATAGCCTTTATCGTCTTGGCCGGAAGCTCGAACGCCAACATCGCATGGATCGGCATCGCCGACAGGACAGACTTGACGAGGAGCAGTCGGCCGCTCTTCGGCAGAGCAGATGCACGCCAGGTGGGCAGGCTTGCCGCGATGTGGTCGACAAGTCCTTGGAGCTGCGCCGCGGATTGCCGGCGGATGGTCAATGGGAGGCCGAGGTACTTTATCGGGAACCGGCCGATGGAGCAACCAAGGATGTTCATGACCACATCCATCTGTGCCTGCGAGCATCTGATCGGGAGGGCTGCGCTTTTCGTCAGGTTGACGCGGAGCCCCGAGGCAGCAACAAAAATATCTAGGATCAAAGAGCATGCCCGCAGGTCCATCCGATGTGGCTTGAGAAAGAGCATAACATCATCCGCAAACATGGAGATTCTAGTCCGCATGCTTGATGGGGCTAAAGGTGTGAGCAGATGCATCTCTGAAGCTCGCTGAAAGAGACGGTGAAGCGGCTCCATGACCAAAAGGAAGAGCATGGGCGAAATCGGGTTGCCTTGCCGTAGGCCACACTTGTTGTAGATGGGCATACCCGGCACCCCATTTAGCATGATCTGTGTGTTGGGGAACGTTGCAGAAAACAAAAATTTTCCTACGGTTTCACCAAGATCCATCTAGGAGTTCATCTAGCAACGAGTGATCGGATTGCATCTACATACCTTTGTAGATCACGCGTGGAAGCGTTCAAAGAACGGGGATGAGGAAGGCGTACTCGACGTGATCCAAATCACCGGAGATCCTAGCGCCGAACGGACGGCACCTCCGCGTTCAACACACGTACGGTCAGCATAACGTCTCCTCCTTCTTGATCCAGCAAGGGGGAAGGAGAGGTTGAAGAAGATGGCTCCAACAGCAGCACGACGGCGTGGTGGTGGTGGAGCTGCAGTACTCCGGCAGGGCTTCGCCAAGCTCTATGGATGAGGATGAGGTGTTGGAGAGGGAGAGGGAGGCGCCAGGGCTTAGGTATGGCTGCCCTCCCTTCCCCCCACTATATATAGGGCCAAGGGAGAGGGGGGGGGGCGCAGCCTTGGCCCTTCCTCCAAGGAAGGGTGCGGCCAGGGAGGAGTCCATCCTCCCCAAGGCACCTAGGAGGTGCCTTCCCCCTTTAGGACTCTTCCTTTCCCTTA